AGATTCCCCATTTGGACCCTGTATTTAAATGTTTATAGTGTATGAAGAAAGGTCCAAATAAGGCATTGTAAGAAAGAGATAGTTTCGAAACCATAGCGAGTTTCCCAAAACCCATCTGCCAACACAATACAGAAGGTTACAGCTGGGCATTACGAAAGCGTTCCTTGTATTGTTGATATTGTTTGATCCCTACCATATTTTCATGTTCTATGGGCGGAAGTGGTGTAGTGGCAAGTGGCACGCTTACCACGCGAGCGGTCCGGGGATCAAATCCTGGGTCGTGAGTCGCCCGGGCCAACCAAGCCTTCCATCCCTCCGGGGTCGGTTAATTGGTACCAGACTTGTCTGGGAGGATAAAAACACTGACTGTACATCGGCTGGCCCCCCCCCGCAAGTCACTGTATAGGCATATCGCTTTCAAAACGCACCATGAGAATGGTATTGGAAGTGTAATGCATGGCGTTACCAAACGGGATTTGGTCATCGGGTGCAAGCCTTCTATCCTTTTGGAGCCTGTTTCTATTTCTTCTTCTCCTCTCGAAATATCCAACATCATATTAAAAACTAAGCCGAACTAGGGGGAGACGGAATATCCGCACGAATGTGGCATATACGCTTTAAGAGAACTTCAACCTCGCGCCAATTGTTCAAAACTTCCAAAGTACAATTGCGAACAATGTCTACAAGCATATCTGAAAAGTTTGCTTTGAATAACATCCAAAAACTGAAAATGAAGTGATGAAGCAAGCGCGGAAGTTAACTAGCATGGTCAGAAACTCATTTAAAACAAAGTCCCAGCAGAGTTTTTACATTCGACATTAATGATATGGAACGATGCGCTAACCGAGTCAAAAACGTAAGTGTGACCGAACAAAAAACTCACCTTAGAAAGCCGCTAGAAAGGGAGCTGAACAGCTTCGAAGTGGGCGTGGTTATCAATCGGCTGAGGGGATTGCAGCCGATTGTTAACCACGCCCACTTCGAAGCTGTTCAGCTCCCTTTCTAGCGGCTTTCCTAAGGTGAGTTTTTTGTTCAGTCACACTTACGTTTTTGACTAAGGATAGCGCATCGCTCCATACCATTAGTGTCAAAAGTAGAAACTCTGCTGGGGCTGTTGTTTTAAAATCATAGAAGCCATGCTACCACCGCACAAGCGACAAATGCGCTGCGTTCGACAAGTGCGTAAAGCTATCATATAAAGCTCTGCAAAAAAAACGTTATCTTACCAATGTATATGAATGCGATGCTCGTCGAAGATGTCGACACACATTCGATTAACATTGCCAAATGCGTACCAAGTTCCATTTTTTTGGAAATAATCAGCTGACAACAATCAAGTAAAGTATCCAGACGCAAATGGCGCGAATGAAAACAACTCACTTTCACGAGAGCTTTGCTGGCAAACATCCAAATTGGGGAGCCATCAGCAACTCGTCCATCAACAATTGTTATTTCTTTAGTGGAAGGTAACTTCAGCAACGATTGCAGCAAAAGAACAGTGGCTTCCGACAGCAATTGCCACGCTTGCCGCGTCCTCATCTCCTTAAGCGCGTATCAGGCAGGTGCACCTCAAAATAGGCAAATTGTTCTCATAAAATTCCTCATTTAAAGGACAGGAAGCGAGTTTCATTCCGGAAATACTGAGGACGAAGTTGTCAGTCACGCTGGATCGAACTAGAGACCCATTTTTGAGTTCAATTCAGGGTCGTTCAGGTAAAACGGACCATGATTCATTGGTTCCCATCATGCCTCGCCTAGAAATCACTTTTGAAAAAGCTTGGCACACCCTGAACGACATCCCTTGTTAATCAAGGTGATTCAAAAGAAAGTTGTGAACTTTTGAAAATTTTTGTCAATCAGCAATTACTTATGAACTCAGCCTAATAGTAAGAAAGCAAGCAAACATATGAACAAATAGAGATATTTTCATTCGACTCTTAGAGGACGTGACGCAATTACGGTACGGCCATCAGGCTATATTGAATGCCCGGCACACGGCGAAGCCGCCTGATTGCGCGCACCGCGAGGCTGAATCGCCGACTATGACCAAAATCGGAACCATATGATATGCAGGCACGTCACTTATAACGTTATATAGCTTCGGGTATGCTTCTTTTTCGAATAAGTTTCGTTTCCAATTTCGTCTTTTTTTACCTGCTTTTGTTTTTCTTTGCTTGTTTATTCGTATTTTTTGTTGTGTACTTCTCAAATCTTAAAATCTAAAAAGCACAATACTGAACTAATGTCTGAAGGAAGTAACACACCTGATCTTCAACAACGTCAACTAAGTCGCCAAGACCACTGCTTTCTATCCATCCAAATTTATGGACGTCTTCTTTGAAGTTCCACAGCTTTTGGAATGTTTTTGTCAACTCCACAACCACTGACGCCTGAAAAGAACATACTGAAAGAAGGGCTAAATGATAGGTGTAGAGAAAATGTTCTTCGAACTAACCTTGTATCTATCTATCTTACATAGGCCAAGTACAGAAAGAAAACCGAACTCGCTGCCCATTATCGTTCCGGGAGAGTTCTGAAGACTGAATTTCATTAACGTACGTCAGTATTTTATTTCTACGTCAGTATTTTAATTCCCCACAAAAAACGACACTGAATTTTTTTAAAGAACTAGAGAGTTAAGCATGTTTCTCGCTGAGGAATTGAAAATTCAAAAATTGAGATCAGTCAGGTGCGACGGTTGAGGATGAACCATCGTATCTGACGGATACCAGTTTTTTCTACTTCTTCCTCTCCTTCTTTTTGAGGTCTAGGTGCAAACTAAGAAACAAACACAAACATAAACGCAAAACGCTTCAACACTGAGCGTTCACGACTGCTTTGCATGATAATTATACAGGAGTCGGATTCCTCAGGTTTCAGACAGTGAAGTCTAGCGATTGCGGACGAGGGGGGAGCCTTTGCACGGGTATAACTGTTTCGAACGTAGGACTCGCATGAATTCCGCGCGCTAGAGTACTCAAGCGAGTCTTCATGGATCATGGACATGATCAGGGACACGAAGTCGCCATTCGTTGAGCTCTGGAAGTGAGGAATGAGCAATAGGCCGAGCAATGCGCCCCTAGCTTTGCTTACACACTCGTCGCTGAGGAGTCATTTCGTGACCCATTCTGAGCCCCCCAAAGTCATGCACAAGTCACATGACTTCTGCACCTCGGGATCTTCGATTCCTGTGGCAAAACGACAGCGTTCCGATATTTCTAATCGTTGACCCATACGGCTGAGAATTAGGATTAAACACAGGTGCTGAAAAAATCCAGAAAAAGAATACGCAACGACACCTCCGAAGCCCTCAATGCGTCCTCCCTCACTTCGAGTCAATGTGATCCGATTTTGGAAATGACAGCTATCTAGCCATTCAAAGTTGCTCCAAGAGCTGACGAAGGATCCTGCGGGGTGTATAAGGAGGACAATGTCCGACTGTTTTTGAGACCAACTAATACGCTCTGTCCCAAAAATTTCGAAGGTCTCGCAGACTTGAAAGATTGGAACATAAGGGCGTCTTGAGAACATCCCATTACGCACAATGGTCGCAGTGATTCAGGGCGATAGTGACCACCCTGTGGTTGAGCCCCCTCTCAAAAAGTGGACAATTTAGCAGCCTAGACCGACACTCCATCATTGTGGTTCGTCCTAAGTCCTGCCCAAAGGGTTGACTGGGGTAAACATTCTGGCGATGATAGTCGCAAATGTTGGCGACGAATCCTTCTCCCCTGTACAGAGAATTCGCTTTTGTGAAATTTTTCATTGAGCCTTGAGCGGTCATTCCATCCTTTTTACACTTTAGTCGAGCCCAAAATATAGGAACTTCTATTGAACAATTTTTTGCTCTTTACGAATGTAATTCAAAGATCTTCAAACCAAGAACTCCCACGACATACACTTCTATGCATGTAGCTACAAGAACCACAGGGATTTGAAGTCCACCCGTCTTTGCTATGGCTTGCGGAAGCTGGCCATTCCCGTTCCACACGTTTTTTTGTTGCCAACCAGTTTCATTTTTTACTTTTACTAAACTTTTCGACATTTCCTTCCCCAGTCGACGTGACGCGTTTCATGAAGATAAACAAAAAAGGGTGACGGCTACATTTTGCTATGCGTTCACATGCTCGAGTTCATACAACCCATTTTGTAACCTCATCGATAGCGAGAGCGTCGAATTTTCTCCTTGCGCTTACGACCCTCTCCGTGAGGCGAATGCAATGCCTTCGTACATTGGTCGCCAATGGGCCAGTGATTTCTTTGACTCCAGAGCCACCGGTATTACAATATTATTGAAAATGAATCAAAAAACCACTTTGAACAATGTAATACATGTTTTCGCAACGTTGGGATGATTACGAGCTACTCCAACCAAGTGATGAACGCTGGTGATCAGATCGGCGGCTGCTGTGAAACCCCGCTTTTTTGGCCAAGCGGCTGCAAGTTCGTGAAGTATTCGGGTTGACCTGAACATAAAGTAGAGTAGTATACAAAAGCTCAAGAAAACATTTTGACTGCGTCGAGTACCTATCGAGGACGGCTTAAAAGCCAATCGAAAACCCTACCCTCCTTCGCCGAAGTAAGAAACCTCTTTCAAAACCCTCTAATTGTGTACGAGAACGGTTCTCATTCTCCTCCTTTTTTTACAGTTTGAGTTTTTTTCATATGTGCAGGGAATTTCGCTGGCATCAGGTACTGTGAATCGTGTTTCATCTGGCCTTTACGTAGACAACAGCTCAATTCACAGTGAGGCTGCTGCTCAAGCCCGCAAGGCAGTGGTTTTTTTAAGTTGATGCCTCCGCAATTGATCATTTTCTCCTCCCTAATTTCTGTAAGTAGTTTTTTCAGATGGCTGATCTATGATCTCTATGAAAAAATTGAAAATCGCAAAAATCGCAATAACATGAAGAAAATTTTCGAGTTCTGGATTATTACTTGAGTTTGAATTCTTCAAAAAATTCAAAGATGCATTGCGAAGAAATTGAATGACAATGTAAGGAAATGTAAATGTAAATGTACAAAACATTGGCAACACACTTACACTTAACAGCACTTTTATCAGCAAGAAGGGGTCCCACCTGATCCCCCTTCAGAGGGGGGGGATCGGGAAAATTCGAAAAAGTGCGAGAGCGTGGCGCGTTAACCCTCCTGGTTTGGGAGTAGCAAGAGGATGGGCACGAAAGGGGGAAAACACCGCTTAGAAATTACAAGTTTACGGGTTCGAAATCCCTATCCAGCAACACTCATCGGTTCTTCTACATATTGCTAAACACCAGTGACAGCTGGGAGCAGTGAAGGGAGAGGGTAGGAGGGGAATAAGGAGGTAAGACGCGAAGCGTAAAGGCCTACTTAGCCAGTACCGTGGCTTTACCTAGGGGGGAGGCGAATCTGTTTTAAGAAAGAATAATATGAGCTGATAAAAACAAACGATTGTAACCTTCTGCTGTCAACTACGCGAGTCAAGCTGATGCATTTCCACGTCAACACTGCTCGTTGCTCCTCAAGCACTATATCCTCGGATGCGTATTCGTTCAGGAACTTCTCTATCAAGTCGTTCAGTGAGAGGTTCCTGGAAATTTCATATCGTTATTTTTTAATACTGGTCGCCACTTTCCATTGAAATTTAAACGGTTAAGCTGATTGATGTCATTATTAGGCTAGCTCATAATTTTTGGGCACTTGCAATACTGCTGTGACAGAAGAATATGAAGCTTTGAACATGCCTTACAAAAAACATCCATGGTCCTCCAATCTGAAGAGAAGAGAACTACAACGAAGAGAATTCCAAGGGAACGGTTGGCCATAGCAAGGAGGTGGATACCCTCAAGGACTGTGTATCTGCTGTGGACAGAATCGACATTACCATGTTTGTGAGGATAAATACAAGAAAAGGGTAGTGCACAGTACTGTTCATATACAGGGGGGGCAATAAAAAAAGACATTTTGTCTCCACTTTCAGATGGATTTTAAGCACACTTTGCTCAATTCAGATCGAATGGTCCCAACTTATTATTAAAGAGCGCATTTCTTTTTTCATTGGTAGCCACATACGTGGACGCATCCTGAAGTGATTTGATTCTAGAAAAATGGCACTGCGGACCTTGACTGGAAAGGACTTTTGAGCAGGATTTACATGTGGGTGGATTACATAGTGGGAGCGCCACAGAAAACTATCTCCATTCAACTCGAGTCGCTAAACACCTAGCAGCGCTTCAGGCTGAAGCAGTTCTGGTAGGCTTCCTGGAGCTTTGACGACGGTGACAGATGACGTCATATTCTGAAGACGGTGAGGGCAGTGAAGGAGGGCCTGCGTTCACTTATAGAGGGACACTTAGGGAATACTCTGCTGAGGAACTCCCGTCAACGCCGGCAATCTCTGCGAAGAAAAAAGGGCCGAAGTCCGACATAGGCAAAATGTCTTTTTTTGCCCCCCCCCCTTTATACACCGTCATCCGGTTGCCTCGAACCCAAGAAGAATGAGCTATGTATGAGTTCCAATGATGTTATGGCGTCGAGATTATCCCTCTATACTGGGTGACCTGAACGGTCCGTCGGCAGCCGACATAAAATAGGATCTTCAAAAAGGCACTTGGGGCAGAGGAACAGTATGAACAAGCGAAAGGAATATGCGTACTCGTATAGCCTACCGCGTCGCAGAATGCATCCATGCCAAGCGGACGTATTCCATCAACAACTTGATGTAGAGAAGACGAACGGAAAGTTGCTCGATGCGTTGATGGAAGATCCTTTCTTCGATGGTGAAACATCGAAGTTATACGAGGTGGTCCAAGCGGTTTACGGACTACTTGATTTTTCCTCAATGGTCCTGCCGCGATGGCTAGAGCACAGACGATTAGAGAATGCCCTAGGACTAAGCCTTGGAGAGGAGAGGGACCCGCTAGAGAGCGCAGAGGCGGTAAAGGGCTGAGTTCAAGTAGTCCGTCAACCTTCTGCAGCAATCGCCTCTGAGCTTCATCGAAGCAGGGAACAAGGGGACTCAAAAACGGGAGGCTGATCTGAAAAGTGGATCTAAAGGATTCGAGACCAGAACGCTGGTCGGTGCGCAGAGTCTCGATGGAATCAATCAACAAGCATGAGTGCAGATGAAGTTGAGATAGATGTTGAGATGAGAAGGCGCTGGCGAGTTGAAATCATAGTGGAGGATTTGGTAGGAGAGTCCATTGAATTATCATGAAAAAGGAAAAAAAAACCGAAGCGACGCTGATAAAAACTTTAAGATCAAGCTAAAAATGCTCGCCAATTCAGCAGTAGCCATGGGAAAGAGCATGGAGGTGGACATCCAAATGAGAATTGAACAGCAGACAATGTCTGCCTCCCCTATTCGGTCTTATTAGCGGATAGGATGCGGGCTAGAATAGGACACTAGGGTAGTAACGGCTGCGAACAGTGACAGTGCCATATTGACGAAGCCAGCCTAACCAGAAATGGTCATTAGGCATCCGCCAAATGAATGCATGGAGTTTCCGCAACTTGAGACGCTGAGCTGAAATCTGCTTTCATATCCGGCGTTAATCAATCTTTTTCAGGATGCGCTGCGCATTCCACTTCTACCGCAGAATGTTCGTAGCAATCGAAAGCACCTACTCTACGGCCTGCGGGCCATACGATGTACAACTGAAGTTTTTATCCTCGCACTAGCCGCCTCTTGCTAATCAAGCAAGGTCGAATAGATCGGGACATTGCTAACCCAGGTGAGATGCAATTTGAGCATGTGGTGCGGTGCTAGTTTCCACTATATGATTGATTGTGATCGACTTACAATTGAGACCCCTGGGAAAATCTTACTATGGATAAAACTTACTCTATTACTGTAATCACGGCACCAAACGTATCAAATGTAGCGGCTTGCAACATCCAATCATAGACGAGTTCGCGTACAAATACTGTACTTGACAGCACACTTCCATTCTTCGTGATCTCAAATCAAATAATATAGTAACTCAATCATATGAGGAAATAAGACCGCTAAAAAAGAGGACGACTCACTTGCTCACTCTTCAAAAGATGCTTGAGGAGCAAAAGAGAGCAGTGCGTCCACCTATAACAGAGAGATACAAATATCACCGCGTACGGCGAAATTTTCAGCACATATATTAGCAGTACTTTTGCATTTTTGTATTTTGCCTTTTCGCATGAGAAGCGATTATGCATCACCAACAAAAGTTAAGATTACTTACCAGGGAATGTTTTGAACTTCCCATGGAACTTTAAAAGGAGACCGTAGATACATCGATAGTCTTGGACGCTGAGTACAAATATGGACACTAAAACTGCTACATGAACTTTGAAGAAAGTTACGAGCATTCAAAGTTGCCGAAGGACGCCAATCCCGGTGGTCCCGAAAACGACCGCAAATGTCTGCGGCAGCCAATCCACGCACTCTTCACGACAGAAGTGGGCGGCCGTACCGAGGCTCGGTGGATCCGCCCACTTCGACGGCGTTAGACCCCCTTCCAACGCCTTTCAAAGGTAAGTTTTCAAATCAGTGACATTTCCTATGTACTTGACTAGGGCTAGTGCATGTTTCCACCCCTTAGGATCGAATGGTTGAAACCCTGCTTGGACTGTTGCTTTAAACGCAGAAATCTAG